GTGGAAATTCCTTAGCTGTAATGCCAAAAGGAAATCTCTTTGCTAGGGTTTCCCTACCCGTCAAGAGGATATCTTTATCCAACTTTGATGTTTGACTTAACTCCGAGCACAGAAGTAAAGGTATCTGAGTGGAAAACTTAAAATATGGCAATGCTTGAAAGCCACGCAAAAGAAGAATAAAGCTGCTTGCTGGTGTGACCAGACTCACTTAAGATTCAGAAAAATATATCATTGGTAATTAAATGAGAAAGGCCGGTAAAATATATGAGCTGTAGGCAAGCACCAATTATAAAGCATAAAATTTTTACCAAAATACATTAACCACTTTAGAGTGACCAGAAAGTGTGTGCTAGAGTGACCAACATCTAGAGAGAAGCAAAAACATCAGAAATGAAACCGTATATTTGTAAAGCGACTTAATACAACTCGAATATGTCCAAAGCCTTAGGCTAGAATATAATAAAATAACCAACCATAGCAAAGGTGTATCCCGTTCATTTTTCAAGGACCAGGACCACCATCGCCTCGGTCATTGCTTGCAGCTTTAACAACGTTATTTACAGCTCCGGATGGAGAAAGAAGGAAAAGGCGAATGCAAACGACAACGAGACGAGGGGAAAACAAAGAGCGGAAACCAATTCGACGAAAGGTGAAAGGTGTTCGTCTGTTGATTCGACCCTCCTTTTAACTCCCAATCCAAACCCGCCTCGAACTTTAACCGCAGAAATCAGCTGGAGGTCCTGGACCATTTCTTCCTGCCCCCTTCTCGTCGACACTTTGGCTCTGTGTTCCTTTTCAGCTCTTTTCGACTGTGGCAAGAGTTACGCAAATTGCTGAGCTGGCAAAGGCTGTAAAATTTTATTGGGCATACACACAGCCGACGAGCCGGGACAAATATGCGGTGGTTCGGCCGGGGGAATGGGGTTATTTTGTAGCTTCTCCTCGCTTCTGGTGACTGGTGGGCCGCATTACGGCCTTAATTTCCAAAAGAAGCTTTGATTTAAAAGGGAAAACACGAAGACGACGACCACGGGGCGATGAATTTATTGTCGAGAGTATAAAATGTTATGGCCGTCAGGTAAAGGCCCACAAAAAAAAAAAAAAAAAACGAAGGAAGAGGAAAAGTAAAGGGCTTAGCGGGGGCGTGTCACCTGTCGGCGGGACAAGGACTAAAACTGTTATTTGCACTTGGCTCAGTTACGTGCCGAATCAATTGAGCAACGGCTGATGCTGAAATATCAGGGGTGTTGTTAAGCGGGGGTTTGGAGGGGACCTTACAGAGGGGGGCACCCATTTCAGGGGACACACGACTGGGCACTGTAGTTGGGCATAAATCATTTAAGTCGCCTCCTTTTCATGCAAAATGTTTACTCGACACCAGTTGGAAAACGACGAAGGAAACAAAATTATTTGACCAAGTCTTAGGATCGAAATATGAAATACCCTAGTTATAAGATTTAGTCAAGTGTATAGGAAAACTTTTTATGGAAATTATATTACCAATGGAAACTTTTTCAAATGGTTTACAAATTTTATTGACCAGAATATCAACAAAAAGGCAAGAGATTATAATACCATTTAAGAAAAATCTGATGGATATATCTGTTATGTAGATATTAAATGCAAATTTATCTAAAAAAGGAATATGAAACTATATCAAAATATATATTATTATTAAATTTGATAAAGTTCAAAATTTATAAAAAAAGCGATATGATCCATGGAAACTTTTTAAAATCGGAAATTTTAAAATTTCGAAACCTGAGTATCATACTTTTAAGCATAAACCTGATAGTTACAGCTATAATGTAGATATTAAATGCAAATTTCTCTGAATAAGCAGTTACAAAGTCAGAATTTTATATAACTTACAAGAATGGAGTTATTCCCTTCCTTGTAAACTTTTGGGACTAACATGTAATGCCCCATGAAAGGCTGACATAAAGCGAAGGGCCCCTAAAATTGCTGTAAATTCAGTGGGTGATTGCCGTGTGGTTGGATGGGTGGTTGGGCGGTTGGGTGGTGCTATTGGTGGCCCACACCTGCCTCGCATGCCAAATGAAGTAAAAGATCTTGGCGCCGGAAAATCTAACAACGTTGCCACACCGGGTGATGCATATTTGATGCTTGTTTTACATATGCCAACAATCCAGGGACACATGCTCGAAGCAGCCTATCCTAACCCACCCAAACCCAAAAACACCCACCCAACCACTCAACCATACACGCACACTTTGCCAAAATTTGTCACTGACAATTTTCATTAATTTAAAAAGCCAAATAAATTGTGAAGCTTCAACCGCAACAAGAGCAAACATCTATGCCAACAAAGCGGAAACAAGCAACTGACGCATATCATTAAAGAGTAGTTACTGTGGGTGGTGCTGGGTGGTTGTGGGTGGGAAATGGGGGGCTACTGGCTACTGGGCGTAAGGTATGCATATGTAAGACGCCTTTAAATAGATAGCTTGTTTGTGACGCACAAATAAACACACTTACGCACTTGAAGGCAGGTAAAAGATGGCAGAAGCCACATGCCACCACCACCCACAGAAACCACCCATCTACCCATCCACCCACACAAACACAACCACACACTGTACGCACACCTAAGCAAAATCAGTGCCAAAGAGATAAAGTGCTCTGAAAATGTTTAATAAAGCTTTTTCCCAAGAAACCAACTTCAATTGCACATGTGCTACAGATATTGTTATCCTAGAATTTATTTAAAATTTTAAAGACATTTCATTGTCAAAAAAAAATGGTATACAAAATAAAAACACTTAGTTTTTTATATATAAAAATATTTATAGAATGTTTTTAGCCCGACACTTAATTTGAATCAACCAGAGAAACAAAAGAGATAACATATATATTGGCATAATTACAGAAAACAACCATCTATGCAAGAACCAAAAATATTCAAGTAGAAACCAAAATTTCCTATGTACATATATTCAAGACCAGCTTAATTAACAGAAATAATAAATATTATCCAAGGATTAAAGCAACAAAATCAAAAAATATATTGTTAATATGTGAAAGAAACCCAAATTGAAAGATCATTTATTACAGAAATAAGCACTGCATACCACGAAATGTAATCAACCAAAATCAATATTCCTCAAGTTCTTACATATAAAGTTGGAGAAATGAATAATTACCACAAATATTTCATATTTTCCAAAGTTGAATGCAAAAAATTCAGATAACGTGTTGTTATGCTTCTGGTAAAATGTGAAAAATTCGCAAAATGCAATTTGATATTGTGGAGTGCGCTAAAGTGCGAAATAAATTTCGTTATCCATGGAATTGTTTTTTCTTTCTTCTTTTAAATATATATATATTTTTTTATAATTTATTCACTGCGTTTTTCCAGTGGTTTCAATTCAACAATTTCAAGGGGGTCAACGAACCGACGCAATGTAAATTCATAAAGCAGCAACTTTGTTGCACTAGCTGTTTGCCTATACGTATATATATTTATGTGCATTTAAGTGTGTATATATATATGGATATATAGCTCCTGTGGCATCAACTTCCGATGTCTGCGCCTTCGCACTTTTGGATGACACCGGTAACAACCAGAAAACCAGCCACCCACTCAGTTTTGCCAGGAGAAAACACTTCCTGTCATCACACACACACACACACACACAGATGTGTGTTTAAGTGGGTGTGGGGTGGAAAGTAAAAAAAAAAAATGAGAAAAACCACCCACACACATGTGAAAAGTTACTGGATCCTTTCGCCAGCAGTCATGCTAATAATTTGATGGCACAAGCGAGCGAGCAGCGACAACGTCAGGTGTAAAATATTGTTAAGCGCAAACACAGGAGCACCCAGAAACACCCAGAAACACACAACACCAGCCCAGCCAACACACACAAATACACTGAAAAGAAAATAGTAAAACTCATCATTTTCTAACAGCAATTGCACACAAGCTTCAAGTTAAAGATACATTGCATGACCTATAAATTAGTTCTCTTTCAAATATTATTTTGGTAAGGAATATCATAAAAATTCTTTTAAATTCCAAGCAAGCGGCTTTCAATTATTTCAAAATTGTTGTATTTAATTTATATGTATTTTTATACTTTTTACTACCTTCAAAAACTATCTTTAATAGATACGAAAAAAAAATCACTCCCTAGGAAAACCCTATAACCCCTATATTATACACTAATTTCATAAAAAACGTTAGTTTTTTAACTGTTTTTTGCAAATGCAATTTAATATGGAATATATATTATACTTCTCATATAATTATAATTTTTTGGGTGAGGAATATAATGAAAATTCTTCCAGTTTTTAAGCAAGCAGTTTTATATTGTCTCAAAATTGCTGTTTAGATGTTTATATATTTTACATTACTTTAAAATACTATCTTTAATAGATAGAAACAAAAATGGAAAATCACAGCAAATCCCTAAAATAGATTTTAAAAAAACGAACATATCTTAGCAAACCCTATACTATAGTAATATGATATTTTTATAAAACTATAGATACTCCAGCTTTATTAGTATTGGGTTCCATGATAATTTTTTTAATTTCCTTTACTAATTTATAGAAAATATCGCAATTAAACTTAAACTTCTGTAATCAATTCTACAACTCATAAATTCAGATGGTCGCCATTCTCTTCGTGTAACCCATATTCATATGCAAATCGAGAGGAAAAAAAAAGAAAAGCCAACCGTCGACGAGGAGGAAAAGGGGGAAAAACAAGCTGGCGGTGGGAGTTGAAAGGCATTTCGTGTTGATGTTGCGTTTTCATTACGCGCAATTTCGGCTGCCACGCCCCTTGCGTTGTTAATTTTCTTTGATGCCGCCGCGCGCGAATTGAATTAAATTCTATTAAAAAGTCACCAACATACAGCAGCCAGGATATATGTACGATATATGTGTCGAAAATCTGGGATTTGCCGGTTACTTTCAATTGTGAACGTGTGTTTTTGGCTAAAATAGGAATGGGGGGGTATGTTAGAACTCACCTGCAAATTGGGCGGACAATGATCCAGTAGCTCCAGCATATGTTTGATATTCTGCGCATCCTGTATCACAAAATTCAATTCCATATCGAATTCACCGCCGACCAGCTGAAAAAATATATAAAAAAAATATATTCAGAGGTTAAAAATGTGTGCAATTTTGTATAGTTTGTATAAACAATAGGTGGGTGGGTAGAATATTGTTGAGAAATGTTCACAATTAGTTGAAATCATTTTTCTCTCTATTTTTTAATTTATTTTGTTTGGCCCTCTCTTTTGCATGTGGATAATCTGGGGGGAAAAATATGCGAAAAGTTGACGGCAGATTTGTAATTGGTAAAGTTTGAATTGGAAATAATGGATGTGTGTGTTTTGAGAGCGTGTATTCAAGTGGGGGCGGTCACGGGAAATGGAAAATGGGAAATGGGAAATGACTGACAAAAGTTTTTTTTTCAAGGAGGGGGGATTCCAGAGCGATGAGATAACAGAACAGAACATAGGATGTCGAACAACTAACTGTTGGCTTAAATCCGTTGATTGGGTAAAATCAATGTAGTTTCCATTTATCTAGACCACACAAAAGTCCAAAGCCCCAGATAACTTTACCGGCTTCCTTTAATTGAAATCAAATGAAATGGTAGAGCAACATTTTCGGGTAATCTGCAAGCTTTTTGTTATTCCCTTTGACAAATAGTTGAGTTCAGTAGTTACTTTTTTAAAAAAGTTGTATATTTTTTTGGGAAATATTTGAACTTCTACTTTCTACACAGAAAGAATTATTCAAAATACATTGTTCTTGAATTGAGAACATTCGTTCTTAAAAACCGTGTAAGTACATTTTGGTATACATTTTCTCAATATTACAACGTAATGGTGAGAAGAGAAAAGTTAAATTGTTAAGATATACCATGTAAATACCGCCAATTCAAATTGATTCGAGAAAAATAAAAATATTTTCAACTTCAAAAATGTTGTTCTATTTTAAGAACATTTTCAATTCAGATGAGAACGTCAGAATTTCCTCTGTGTATGTAACTTAAAAAAAAAGTTGCATTTTTTTTTTAAATATTTTAAATTCTACTTTCTAATTTGAAAATTAATGCAAACAAAAATTTAAATAACAATCTATCAAAGTCAATTTTAGTTCCTTCATATTCGTACCTATAGATTAAATACTCATTTAAAATATCCTGAACCTAATTCTGTTTGATGGATGATGATCGGTCTTTAAACGGCCCAAATCTATACCCCATTTTGCTATCACAAAGTGAGTTTTGAAGGGAGTTGGTAAGGGATTATCATTTAGCAAGCCAAAAGCCTTTTGCTCCCCTACCATTTATTTTCACCCCTATTATATTTGAACCCCCACAACTTTAGTTTCCTTGGGCTTAGGGCTAAGTACAGTCGAGTGTGTTAACTGCTTGAGAGCGTGTCCTAGACACATCCTTTTTGCCATCGACGAGCAATCAGGACGTCCTTTCAGCGGCAACAACAATAACAATCAAGGATGTTGAAAAGGGGGTTGGAGGAAATTCCCCCAGTCACGTCACAAAAACGATGGCGGCAAAAAAGGTTCTAACTTAATTATGCCAGGCGCCAAGAAAATCCACTTCCATCGAAATTTCGTAGAACCAACTCAACCCCCTCCACCCGTTTAAGACTACGCCCATTGTCGATATATATATAGATATATTTTTGTGTCCAAAAAAATTGTTTTTCATGCTTTTTGCGCGCTTTAATAAAATCAGCAAAAATAAATTCAATAAATTGATTAGAAAGCAAATGGGGGGAGAGAAAAGGACTTTTCTATGTCTAGCTCACAAGTGGTTACAAGTGTCCTTAGACCAGACAAAAAAACAGACCTACACACATACAAACAGGGCGATAAAAATCCCCAACTGTATTTATGTCTGTTTTTGTTTGTTTTTCTCGCAATTTTTTTCTCTGGGAAAAACTAAGAGGGTTTTTTTTTCGAGGGGGGGAAAAGGGGGTGCTTTTGGCGGCCGACAGTTTGGCGCCTGGCCATCAATGGACCACACCCACAATCCCAGTGTCCTTAACCCAAACCAAACCCATCCAAACACCCACCCACCCACTCACTACTTTTCTGCGAGTGCACTCGAGAGCAGCTTTATAATTATGCGAAAACGATTTTACCGGCTTTTTCCCCAGCCCAACCAACATTGCTTTTCTTTTTTTTTTTTGTTATCCCTTTTTGTGGTTTATGGCCACGGCCACGCCCACAATTTGCCTTATCACCTGGCAACAAATAAAAAAGGGAGTGGAAAAGCCAGGTAACAATATGGCCAGCAAATCTGTTGTGATGCGAACATAAAGCGAAATCAAAGCCAGAGACTTCTCACCCTCGGTTTTTGTGTTTTCCCCCCGCTTTTCGTGGCAATGAAAACAAACAGCAGAGGAGCCCCCTAAGACCCACGGATTAGGCAGCAATTTATAATGCCCCTTTAAGTCGGTTGCCCAAGCCAATCCAAACCAAACCCAACCAAACCAAACCAAACCAAGGCAAAGCTAACCAAAACACCCAGCCACCAGCAATCTCAGCGGAAGGATTTTCCTCATTCCCCAAACAAGAGAGCTTACTCTAAAGTCTTTTGATTAATTTAATTTCCAGTACTTAACATACTTAAAAATTGATTTAAGCTACATTTGCAATATAACAAATTTCTAAATATTTGTTTTTAAAGCACTCAAGATAATGGGAAATAAATAACAAAATAAAAATATTAATAAAACAAAAAAAAAATAATAAAATAAAAAATATAGAGAAATAAAAAAATAAAATTATAAAAAAGGTAAAACAAAATAATGAAACAAAAAAACAAAACAAAATAAGAAAATAATAAAATAAAATAATAAAAAAAAAATAAAAAAAAAACCAAATAAAAATAATAATAAAATAAATATTAGGCCAAATAAAAATTAAGATTTTGAACTGATAAAAAATATGATTCCTGTGAACCATAACAATTTTAAGGACTTTTTGAATATAAACATAAAGCTACTTTTACTCATTATTTGACTTATGCAATTTGTAATAATAATGGGCAATTTATTTAATAATTAAAATTATTTGAACCCTACATTTTTGGTTAGTGGTATTTCATTGATAATCATATAAATTAGCAAAAGACTTAAACATAGCTCTTAAAAAAGCACTATAAATTCAATTTAGCGAAAACCACAAGTGTGACAAGCAACGAAATTCCTATTTAAAACAAAAAAAGGAAAAACGAAAAGCGGAGAAAGAGCGTAGAGTGGTAAAGAGAAAGGAAAAACGCTCATTCATATTTAAATTAAACTTTGTGGAAAGTTTTTCCAGTTTTCCTACCCATCAAACCAGCCTCCCAATTAACGCCGCCACCCACGATTTTCCAACCGCTTCGCAGCTTGTCTTAGTACAAGCATTTTAAACGCCGCTTAATTATATTCGTCTGCCACCCCAGAAAAACCCCCCTGATTTTCCACAGTTTTCCCCATGCGCTACCCAGCTTTTCCCCAAGGATCCAGAGCTTCGCACCTTTTTCTAGCACATTTAGTCAATTTTAAGTTCATTTAAAAAATAAGAAGAAAAAAAAAAGTTTTTCCTTTCTTTCGTCTCACTTTGCTGTAGATTTTCTACATTTCATTTGTGCGGCGGAAAAGCTGTGGAAACTCTGGCATTGACGTGTCACCCATCCGCCTGTCACCTTGTTATCCCCACCCACCTGGTCGCTTATTTAAAGTAAATTGAATTTCTATTTTATTTAAAATGCGCATTGAGACGCACTAAAAGTTCTTCAAGTGCCCAAGCATTTCCCGGGTGAAAGCGTGGAAATGCCAGTTTTCCGGGGGTTTCCTTTTTTTTTTGGCTGTGTGAAGGTGTAAAAATTACAATTTTACACCAGGCAATGAGACCGAAATTTCTTTCTTTGTTTTTACTTTTTCTTGGTAGGAACTCTGGGGGTCCTGAATTTCCCTTCATTCACTATTGCAAAGTGAAAGAGAGTTTGTCTTATCTCTTTTGTAATTCAATTTGATTTCAACAAGGAGTTGGAGGGATAAAAGTGGAAAATATAGAGGGGCGTTAACTGCATTGAAATTGTAATTGAGGCAAAGTTAACTTTTTGAATAAGTAAAAAAGTCAGTTTTGCCACCCTATGGGGAAAACGCTTACTAATCTTGTTATACCTTTAGTAAAGTAGTTACGAAATACAATTAATAGTAACACTTGTAGTTTAAAATACATATTGTCGCACTATATTTAATTTAGGATTTTAATTGAACGAAAAAATGTGAAATCAAAATCTGAATAATATACCAATTTTATAGGTTTAAAAATATATTTAATTAAAGAATTTAAACATGTAAAATAGCCAATTGCAAAATACAGAAAATAATCATAATTTGAATAATATACCAATTTATTCAAATGTAATAAAAAGGTACAGGTTTTATATTACATTAAATCAAAGATATCAATTAATATGAAAAATAGGCAAAAAAAAATACGAAACCAGGAGCTGATTATTTAAAATTTAATGAATAATTTTTTCTCTTCCTACTGTATTTTATTTGATATTAAATAGTGTTAAAATTAGTTTAAGGCGTTAAATTCTTGCAAAAACATCCAAATAAAATGGAAGATACATTTGGCTTTAAGCAAACCCAACTGTCGATTATCAAGTGTATTGATTACTTGTTCGCTCAACCTACGGACTAATTTTTTTTGGCCACATTTCCAGAACCATTGGCAATCCCCCAAGAACCTTGATTACGCCTATGCAGATATTCACAGCAATTGAGTCGCAGGTCTCGGTGAAAAACTGCCTTTTCCCCATTTCCATTCCCAAAATTTTTCCTTGGGTTTGGGGAAATGCGTTCCGCTCTGTTGTGGCTTTTCCGACTATTCTCGCCAGACTTGCTAGCACTTCTTCTTGGTTTTTCTTCTCTTTTTTTTTGGGACAAGGCCCTCATCACCATGCCACTTCACTCCCCTTTGCTTTGTGCCGAATTTTCCCGACTTTCCCCACTTTCCCACCAGCCGCCAATCCCCTTTTCTTGTGTCATTAGGGAATATTCGCAGTTTTCTCGTGGTTAAGCTTTTAAAA